GCCAATGGGTGAGTGTAACCGGAGTGGGCAAGTCCATTTCTGTTCTGCCGCTTCGCGTGGTCGCTATGAGTGGGCTCCGTCTTGGCACTTTGGCTGTCTAAATTCGGCAAGGCGGACAGGTGGAGTCCATACTTCGGATAGTCTGCGATTATCGATAAGACATCAGAGGTTCTCTTCAAGTCACCTTAGCGGGGTATTGCCATGCGCAAGTGATCAATTGGCCCTGATGAACTGACAAAATCCAGGGTCCTGCTGCGGGAGTACCTGAACGATACATCACTGTCAAGACTTACCTGCGCGAAGACCCCACGCACCAAGTCGACTTCACCTTGCCATCCAGGCGCATCAGCGAAGGACTGACGACAATGAATACCACAGAGACAAGTTGATAGCAGTCGCGCAAGGTGTTGCAATCTTCGAGACACAAGGGCAACCTATTGCGACAAGCATACTGTCAAGTATATTGACATATTGTCATCACAACAAGCCGGCCCGCCGCATCTTCCACCGCCGATACCCCACCATCCCATCCATCCCATCCATCTTCCTGCGAGGTCATCCGAAACAGACGACCTGAACTCCAGCATCCTGTGTCAACGCACAACAATAGACAAAGATAAGACGAAGCCAAACAAACGGAACGAAACGAAACGAAACGAAACGCTCGCCCCCCTCACAGTCGAAACGTAGCCCCGCACCGGCCACCATGACCAAGCCCGCGCGCCGGCTCCTGGCGCTGGGCTGCGAAGGCAGCGCCAACAAGCTGGGGATCGGGGTGATCGCGCACGACACGGAAACGGGGGCGTCGGAGATCCTGTCGAACGTGCGGGACACGTTCGTGTCGCCGCCGGGGACGGGGTTCCTGCCGAAGGACACGGCGAAGCACCACCGGGCGCAGTTCGTGCGGGTGGCGCGGGCGGCGCTGCGGGCGGCGGGCGCGGCGCCCGCCGACCTGGCCTGCGTCTGCTACACGCGGGGGCCGGGGATGGGGGCGCCGCTGCAGGCGGTGGCGGTGGCGGCGCGCGCCCTGGCCCTGCTCTGGGCCAAGCCCCTGGTCGGCGTCAACCACTGCGTCGGCCACATCGAGATGGGCCGCGCCATCACCGGTGCCGCCGACCCCGTCGTCCTCTACGTCTCCGGCGGCAACACCCAGGTCATCGCCTACGCCGAGCGCCGCTACCGCATCTTCGGCGAGACCCTCGACATCGCCGTCGGCAACTGCCTCGACCGCTTCGCGCGCGCCCTCGCCATCAGCAACGACCCCGCCCCGGGCTACAACATCGAGCAGCTCGCCAAGCAGCACCTGCGCGCCGCGCCCGCGGGCGAGCGCGAGACCCTCCTCGACCTCCCCTACGCCGTCAAGGGCATGGACTGCAGCTTCAGCGGGATCCTGGCCGCGGCCGAGGTGCTGGCGGCCGCGATGCGGGAGCAGGACGCGCGCCTCGCGGCCGGCGGCTCCCTGAAGGAGAACGAGGCGCGCCTCACGCCCGCCGCCCTGTGCTTCAGCCTGCAGGAGACCGTCTTCGCCATGCTGGTCGAGATCACCGAGCGCGCCATGGCGCACGTCGGCAGCGCCAGCGTGCTGGTCGTCGGCGGCGTCGGCTGCAACGAGCGCCTGCAGGCCATGATGGGCGCCATGGCCGCCGAGCGCGGCGGTTCCGTGTACGCCACCGACGAGCGCTTCTGTATCGACAACGGCATCATGATCGCGCACGCGGGTTTGCTGGCGCATCGAACTGGCTTCGAGACCCCGTTGGAGGATAGCACTTGTACGCAGCGATTCAGGACAGATGAGGTATATGTTAAGTGGAGGGATTGATGCGGGCATGATAATGAAAACGATTGCATAATTCAAGGTACCCCAGCACGATGACGATGACCTCGGGAATTTGACGATCAAATCAGTGTCCCTCAACGCCCTCGGGTCACGCTTTGGCAACGGCCTGCGGTATTCCGGCAAATTTAGAGAAGACATTGTTGCTCTTGTTCAAGAGTACAATTAGCTTGACCACGAAGGCTGTTATAGGCACATCTTTCTAGGTATGTATCTGACTTCCCAAGGAGCTTCTCATATGCCCGTAGCGTATCCGTCAAGAGCCATCCATGTTATGGCTAAAGATCGTCCGGCTTTTCCTACAACTTCCATGCAATGACGACTCTTCGTGTGGCATCAAGACGCAGAGTCTGTACTCGTATCTGTTTCTCTTCATCCCAGGCAGTTGTGTTGCAAGGCGCTGCACTTTGTCGAGGGCAGATTGTCTGCAGAATGAGTATGGTATCACGTCTTTCGCTGTAGGACGTCTCGGATCGTTGAAGACAAAGCACTTCGATTAATACCAGCGCCAGGTCCGGGCTTGTATGCCCACATTGCCGCCTGCGCCTTCGCCTATTCGTCCTTTGTCGGTTTGTAGACAATGGTGGTAACGTACTTCGCACTCAGTTAGCTTGGTATTCTATCATACTCGACCTCAGAGATGATTAGATTCCACTTGCCTTTTGCTGATATCTCGTTGTCGCAGAGACAGCAAGAACATTGTTCTTAATGCTACACGTAGCCAGGTGGTTGAGTACCGTATGGTTGGGCATGGTCAACACACTATTGTCATCCTTGATCAACGTTGTGTTGTTCAAGATTGGCTTCGTCAGGAAGCCTGGCAAGCTAGGGGGCGTTGGCAATTTCTCCAATGCCAATGCCGATATCTTGTAAGCCGCTGAGTCTTCGGCCTGGTCGAAATCTTCCAGATACCGTGGTAGCTTTCCAGTGTACTTGGCTGTCGGTACGATGACTTTCTTCACCTGAGCATTTTCCTCACCAGTAAGTTCTTGTGTGGAAGGTTGTCGTGACGGCAAGCGTTCCGCGTCCGTATCGGATCTCGGAAGACCGCTGTCCAAGTTCGATGGGCGCGCAGCTGCGCTGTCGCCGCTGACTTCAATATAGTTGACGAGATTGTTGCCGAAATCGACAGTAGTGGGCAAATCCGGCGAGGTCTGCATAGTCCCATCAACCAGAAACTTGATGTGGTGGGTACCGGGAAACACGGGGATCACGGTCTCGAGGACACCTTCGCGTCCTTTCCTGCAAACCAACTCGCGGTTAGTATCATCTAGAAGAAGTTGCCCGTTCTTCAAAGCAGGGTCGTAGCCAAGGCGCAGCTCAGCTCCGGAGTAGACACGCAAACTCCTCAGCGGAAAACCCACTGGCAAGACTTCGACGAGGAAGACCGCACTCACGCTGGTGACAATCGTTGCTTCCGGCTCCATTGAAACGGCGTTCCGGTTACATAAACTCTCTGGCCACCGCGCAACCACTCCACGCGGGTCGGTATCGTAGGCCTTGTCTTGTCCACGCGCAGCTCCTCGGAGTCCTCCTCGTCGGTGGCATTGCTGAGGCCGGAGGTGCGGCGGGTGATGCCGGCATCGGAGGGCTGGCCGGGAGAATCGAGAGGCGCGACATCGTCTTCGGCAAGCTTCTCGTCGATGATATCGACGCCGGCGACAATCGGCGAGCCGGGGGTGTGGATCTCTTCTTCGATGGGGAGCGGCAGCCGCGGCGGCCGTGGCATGTGATACGACATGTCGGTGATGCTACTGGAGGTGGTGCCGGTCGGCAGGCCGATGTCCTCGAACTGGGCGTCGTTCGGGAGCGCGTGGGAATCGGGGTTCGTGGCTGGTACAGCTAATGGTCTCGATAATTCGCTGCTTCGGGGTTCGGTTACATGTTGCTGCTGCTGCTGCTTGTCGACTGGTTGTTTGTCGGCGGAGGGCGGATCGGATAACTGCTTCTCGGGGGCCTTCGCGGGAGGCGGGGCAGAGCCGTTGGAACTGGTGCCAGAGGGTGAGGAGGAATTGAAGTTGGAAAGCGGCCGGGATTGAGAGTTCCGGTTAGATATGGTAGAGCCTTGAGCTTGGACAACCGATGCCTCGGGCGAGGCTGGTGACCGAATGTGGTGCTGGTGGTGGATGGAGGCAAGGTTCTTGTGCTCTTTCTTGGAAGCGCGTGGGGAGTCGCTCGAGGTGTGCGACGAGGGTGCATTGCCGGGGGCCGCGGGCTTCCCGGACGAGGTGGAAGGGGCGTTTCCCATGGTTAGGGCAAGTGCAGACCGCGCAGGGTCGTGGGGGGAGTACGGGAGTACGGGATGACCAGTTTGCTTTTCTTCGCGCCGGCGTAGGGCAGGAGCAATCGAGGGCGAGGGCAAGCCCACCGTGGACCTGGGAAGGCGTGGCACGGCGCAGTGCACGTGAGCAGCAACAGCGGGCAGCAGGAGGCAGGAGGCAGGAGGCAGGAGGCAGTAAGCAGGCACGCAGGGTAAGGTACCAAGTAGCGAGGATGATGTGATGAGCTGTGATGGGCGGCGCTGTTACTCAGGTGTAAGAGGGATCGTCGTCAGGCGTAGTAGCAGAAGCGATGCAAGCGGTCATGAGACCAAGGAGACCCGGCGGGCTAGCTCTACGATTAGGACAGAGGATGGGGGTATCACAAGCAAGGCACGGGGAGATGGAGCGATTGGGCAGTTGGTAAAAGGTCGTCTGATGAAGTCAGCTCTGAGAGTCGAAGTCGCTGATAGACGCCGAAAGCCCAGCCCAATGAGCTGTGTCCCGCCTACTGCTACTTCGCAGTTCGCACGGGTCATCCCCCGCTTTACCCCTGTATCCCACCGACCCTAGCTTACCTAAGGGGGCGGGGGATAAGGTTTACTTATGACTATCGTCTAAACTTGCTGATAACCATTGCGGGAGTCTTCAACTTTAAACCATTAGTTTACATACAAGACAACAGGAAATACTGACCAGTAACAAGAAATCAGGCTCACGTGAGCGATCGGCCGGTCTGCTTTGCCGTGTATTTCAAACAACCATGCTAACCAGTCGCTCAGCTGTCCAGTAATTTACAGAAACTATGTGTGCAAACACCTTGAAACATGCGCCGGACGCAGACAACCTTAGCGATGGAGCGCAAAAAGTTACCAGTTCGCAAGTAAACCACACGAAAAAAAAAAGGCTGCTCAGTATGAGGATTGAACTCATGACCTTCGCATTCACTTGATATTTCCCAAGGGAGATATTAGTACGACGCTCTAACCAGCTGAGCTAACCGAGCTTTACGAATTATCCAGCTGCTGAGGCAGCTGGTCGGTTAATTCTGGTGGGGATGTGGAGAGGCCGATTTTTCAGGAGGTTTATATAGCTTCATTCAAGTTTCCGGCTTTCGAGGCACCTCGTTTATGACAGGATCCGTCCAGAAACCGGTGGCTTGAGATTCAATGACCAGTCGAGTAAATGCAGAGGGCGAGAAAGAGTTTACGTACCGGCGCACGTCGCTACTCTGGGACCAAGGCGGTCTGGGATAGTATAACAATCGATTCAGTCTAAACAACATGGCGGTAGTCGACTGCAGCAAGCCCCCGTTGAACTTGTTGTGGTGAATGCCTAGCCCAACAGAGCTTCACGTAGGTGATCGGGTACGACCAACCACTTGTGTAAGAGATTTGTGCTCTCTAATCGTTCTCCAGACCGATGTAGAACGTCTCGTTGAAAGGAGCCCAAAGTATACCAGAATGCAAGGTAGCGTAGGTGTAGAGCAAGCTTGATTCCGGCTTACTTGAACGGAGACTCGTTCCCATAGGAGGACGGCAGCAATGCGGACTCCCCGGCGGGGTGTAGAAGGAAACACGATCTTGAAGTGGCGGTCGAAGGAGGAGCTGAGGTCATTATCATAAGGTAAGGTAAGGTGACCTTAGCTGGTAAGGAACCACTAGTGGGCGGGCAGGGACCTCGGGACGGCTACACCGCCGGCGGTCTTCAGGAACGAACGGCCAGAATTCAGAGCTCAGACTTTAGAAATCAGGCAACCACGGCAGTGATCCTCTACTTGCCGACTGAGATCTCAATACTCGACACGCCTTTAATCGAACTCCAAGCCCAAGGAGATCTTCGTTTACGGTTGACACCGCATTCCTTGAAGTGTACCGTAGCGCGTGGAATCATGCCTCGCCAACGCAGACTTGGAAACGTCGCGCATGCAATACGTACCAGCTACCCAGGTTCCCCTTTTGAATGACACAAGATGGCAGCTCGACCGATCAAGTTCGTCGAAGGGGTATGTGTGTAAAGACCGGGTGCGTTTGTCCGGCCGTCCCAAAAAGGAAGATGTTAACTACCTAGCCAGTCACCTCCCAATACTTGGAGCATTTCAAGTCTAGAAATATCCGTAAAGCAAAGCAATCTTGCAAGTTGAAGCTGAATTGATCAAAAGACGGCAGACTGCTAGGTGCGGAGTGTCGTAGAAGCTTGCAATGGCTTACCTTTATAGGACGCAAAAAGCAAGCTCTAACCCACATTCAATTAACCGACCAGTTATCCCAATAACTGGATCATCGCTCGGTTAGCTCAGCTGGTTAGAGCGTCGTACTAATATTCACCTATCCGATAGGCAAATATCAAGTAATGCGAAGGTCATGAGTTCAATCCTCATACTGAGCAACGATTCTTTTTACATCTTGTATACTTATTTCTACCCCCTTTTTTCTTCAGGGGAAGATGCTAGAGAAGTAGTGACATTATTCCTCTTGTTAGGCATAGGGAATTTGCTCTGATCAAATCCTGGCCATGCATTTTTTACAGGTTCTCTTTAATGATAGTTGACTGCGTCTGGTTACGGGCTGCCTTATGTGTGCAACATGCACGGATGAGGACTTGAAGACGCCAAGCACCGCCCCTTGAATCCTGATCTCACATATAGTTGTTCGTCGTTGAAAAAGAGAACCCCTTTTGCAGTTGCTCAGCAAGGCAAGATGGATGATGATGATGGATGGACCGGATGCGTTGCGGGTTCGGTTCACCGGGTCCGGACGGAGAAATGCGAGGGGCAATCTCCTATTCAGGCAAATTCCACGTATCAGTGCCTCCGAGTCCCTATCTCATTGTGCCTATCCGCATCTCCTAGACTTCTACCCCTGGGCTATGTGCGCATCTTCAAGTTCGCCTTCAAGTTCGAGTTCGCGATCGAACGACCGACGCTGCTGCTGCTGCTAACTGAGTAAGTCGAGAGTCTGTCTCTGCACGATTCGCGATGAACGCCAGCAAAGCCAAGCACGAGGAGGAGGAGCTGGCATTCCTGTCATCCTCCTCGGCCGTCCACAGCGACGCCGTCTGGTCTCGGCCCCCTTCCGGCTACCGCAAATGGCTGGGCCGCCTCCGTACAGTTATGGAGCTGGCCATGGCCGGCGTCATCGTCTGCTTGCTCGTGCTGCTGTCGAACGCGCTCGAGAATGTCGACGAGTCCCCCGTACCCAGATGTAGGTCTATCTGATCCGCCCTCTTAGTAGGTTAGGCGTGTACTCATGGCGTGCGTGCAGTCCCTCGCAAGACGTACAAGTTCCTCCCGGATCCGCAGTTCGTGCGCGACGACATGTTCTTTGACGAACACGACACCATGCATACGCTGCACAACTGGATCCCGCTCAGCGCAGGTGAGTCGAAAGCACGGTAGAGGCCGGGAGGACAAGTGACTGACCGACCGACCGCTTCCGCTCCTCCCAGACGGTCGGGGATACGTGCAGATTCCGGACCACGAGGCGTACGAGCAGCTGGGCGAGCCGTACACGGTGACGGTGAACCGCACCTCCGACGGGCCGGCGTACATGATGTCCGTCTTCCATCAACTGCACTGCCTGTCGTACTTGGCCTCGCACTACCAGAAGGGGTACGGCGGCGCCAACCTGACCGAGGAGGTCGCCCACCATTCCGCGCACTGCTTCGACTACATCCGCCAATCCATCATGTGCGCCGGCGACACGAACCTCGAGGGCGATACCGAGACGGGACCTGGCTGGGGCTCCGACCATACCTGCGTCGACTACGAGGCCATGCTCGATTGGGCCAACGAACACTCGGTCGGTGTCTGGAGGAATGGACTGCTCCCGGGCGAAGCTATTTTATGAAATCAAATACATGAGTTATCCATCAGGGTTGTGCGGGGAAGTTGTTGCGATCCGTGATTGCGTCCGAGATTCCGAGATATGATCGTATATGGCAATTTGTCATACGCACTCCTTGCATGGGTTGCCGTTTGCCTCCTCCATGAAGGACTGACAAATTCCATCAAGCTCTTTGATCTTTCCGGCCAGGCCTTCGAAACCAACTGGCTGACGCAAATGAGCCAATAGGAAGGAAGGTCTCTCTTCTGTGGTAAGATTTTGGTGCTTACCTGATCTCACGCCATAACATGATTAGGTACTTAGGTACCTTAGGAAAGGGAAGCTTGCTTTTCCCATTTACAGTACGTACCCTAGTTACTGTAACCCCTACTTACTGCAAAAACGCTAGTTACTGCAAATATTTGCCTGTACCGGGAGTTTTTGTATGGGAGATACCCTAGTTACTACACCTACTACAAACTGCAAATCGATTTGCTAATATTTGCAGTAACAGAGGTTAATTTTTAGTGCGGCGAACCATTATTCCCCCATATTTTAGGCCTGCTAAGGGCTTGCCAGGGGCCTAGTAACCAGCCATAGACCTAACTTCCGGCACCTTTAACCCTTCTCTAGTTGCATATTGTCACCAACGCTGCCGCGCCCTTCGTCTCCCGTCAACCAGTGCCGTGCTAGCGCTCTGCTCCAGCGCGCACACATTTTTGGTGGGAAAAAGAGCTGGCCGGCAGGGTGGGTCACGGTCACGTGGGCTCTAGAAACTGCAAATATTCTAGTTACTGCAAATCTCCTGGCCGCCCGAATCACTTGCAGTAACTAGGGTACGTACTGTAATGGAATCGGGTGGTGGGTCTCCCACTTCCTCCCTTCCTCTCCCCTCCCTTCGTTCCGGTTGCCGTGTCTACACCTAGGTAATCTATAAAGCACCAAATCAGAGGGGCTTGCCGCCAGCATGATACTCCGAAGGCAAGCTTTCCGTACTACCGTATACAACACATCCATGGATTTGAAGGATCTTGATCGATGCTGATGCCGCGCAGCTGAGATCCGTTTCCGACTTATACTAACCCCGCAACCAGAAGTCCAGCCAGCCCCCAGGAAAAACGTAGAGGGCTGCAGACGTTCCATTGACACTCAGGCCCCCCGAGCTGGGAACCAATTGGAGATGGCTAACGACGCGGGAAGCCGATATATGTCTGCATAGCGGAAGTACCCTTGGAACTTTTTCAATAACAGCGCTGGCAGGATATACCACGGTACCTAGCTCCGATGAGCATAAATAGTCAGGTTCACGCTGTCACCATGGCTCAGTTTCTCTTCTGATCTTCATCCACTTACGGTGGAAGCAGTCCGGACATACTAGCAAGAACATAAACTCCACGAAGATGGTACGGGGGCTCTCGCTCGGCTTTCTTCTCGCATTAGGAGCCACGGTATCTGTTGTTTCAAGTTCCAACGACGTTAGTACGGACCCGGCTGACTACGATGCGAGCGACATCATCGAAAGGGATGTCGTCGTGATCGGTGGTGGTTCTTCCGGAACCTATGCCGCCGTCCGGCTATGGGATCACCACAAGTCCGTTGCGGTGATTGAGCGCAAAGGCACGCTGGGCGGCCACGCAGAGACGTACGTAGTCCCAGAGACGGGCGACACGATCGACATCGGCGTCGGCTACTTCCCGCACACGCAGACCGTGGAAGACTACTTCGGGCGATTCGACATCCCTCTCATGAACCTGTCGGATGAGGGGTCGTCGACCACCTACGCCGACTTCAGCACGGGGCAGGTGGTCAACTACACCGCGCCTAGCAACGAGGCGTTCGGCGCCGCGCTGACGAAGTACGAGGAGCAGCTCAACAAGTACCCCGCACTGGCCGAGAGCTTCAACCTGACGTACCCGGTGGCCTCGGACTCGGACCTGCTGCTGCCGTTCGGCGACTTCATCGCCAAGTACGACCTCGGCGACCTGGTGCCCCTCGTCTTCGTCGAGAACCAGGGCTACGCCCCCCTCCTCGAGATCCCCACCCTGTACATGTTCAAGTACCTGTCGCGCACCGAGATCATCCAGCTGCGCGACGGCACCCAGACCACCGCCGCCCACGACATCCAGTCGCTGTACCGCGCCGCCGCGGCCTTCCTCGGCGCCGAGAACGTCCTGCTGAACGCCTCGGTGCAGGCCATGGACCGCGGCGCCGATGACGGCGTACGGGTCGCGGTCGACACGCCCGCCGGCACCAAGCTCGTCGTCGCCAAGCGCCTGGTGTCCGCGGTGCCCCCGCTCGTCTCCAACCTCGACGGCTTCGACCTCAGCGACGGCGAGACGTCTCTGTTCAGCCAATTCCACGCGAACGCGTACTACACCGGCCTGCTCGCCGGCACCGGCCTGAACGTATCCCTGCGTGCCGCGGCGCCGGGACTCCCGTACGGTATCCCCGACCTGACGGACGGGGGTCTGTACGTGCTGCAGCAGGCCGGCGACGGGCTGTTCCACACGTACTACGCGGCGGCGACGTACCAGGCCGAGGACGAGGTGAAGGCGGACATCGAGGCGGCGGTGCGGCGGGTGCAGGAGGGCATGGGCATCCCGACCGACGGCGAGCTGGAGTGGAAGATCTTCTCGCAACACGTGCCGTTCAACCTGATGGTGTCGAACGATGCGATCCAGGCGGGATTCTATGACAACTTGTTCGACCTCCAGGGCGAGAGGAATACCTTCTATACTGGAGCGGCCTGGGTCACGCAGAGCTCGTCGGCGATTTGGGATTACACGGATCATTACCTGATTCCTATCCTGCTGGCTTCGTTCTAGGGTAGTTGATGATAAGCGATGTTCCGGGCAAATATTCGTTAGGTTCGTTCTCTAGCGGTGTAGGTTTCGAAGACGGTTAGTCGGGACTAACGCGAAAACGTATTGCGAAGAGACTCGATTTTGACACCATGCGCGGTTCAAGTGATATGTTACGGTTGACTGAGCTTGGATCCAAGCCAGGGTCATTCCACAAGTGCCGAAAGACGGACTATTGCACGAGATCTGGCCTATTTGATAAGTTTTTTTTTTTTTTTTTTTTTTTTTTTTTTTTTTTTTTTTTTTTGGTTTGTTTGGAAACCAACACACTTCTAGAATAAAAAGAATATGAAGAGATCGAGAGAGCCTATGGATTAGAAAGTTAACGGGGAAAGGGAAAAACTTGTTGCAGCCGTAATAGCGTTGTACCTCTTACAACAGTCCCTGTAGTAAAAGCACGAATTGAAAAGCTGGAAGAGCTACGTGATTCGCTGCAGAGGAACTGGCGCGAAGCGTCCGAATATCACTCGATACACTACAACCTTAAACATAAGCCACAGAGCTTGGTTCGGGGACAGGCAGTGGGACTCTCGACTCGATATCTACGATTAAAGAACAAGAAGTTAGCACCCAGATATGTAGGTCCTTGATACGCGTCATTTGACCGTAGCAGTGACGGTCATGAGATGACCGTCTGGTGACGGTGTCACCAGACGGTCCGTCAATAAACCAATGTCTTAAGACAGATATCCCTCACGGGATA